AATTGACAAGTTATATGATATTTAAAATAGATCTTACAGAGTTTTATCTGTTATTATACACCATAAATCACAAATATGCATTGTTTCTTCGATGATATTTGGTACGGAAACGTATAGCGACCACCCCTATATGATATATATCAAATGACATTTTTTATAGTTTTATAGTATGTTTCTTATATGTAAATATGATGTGAGGAAAGAAATGCATATTTAAAAAGATGTAAGTGTATTATTTTTTCATTTTGTCAGAAAGTTAAAAGTAGTTTATCTTGCATTATAAGATAAAAAACGTACGATAGATTACGAAAAAATACGTATTATATTTGTTTTACAACATAACTTGATTTAATTGCTTCCTTTATATATTGCGTGGGATTTTTCTGTCGTCATTATCTATTTACGGAAACGTATAGCGACCACCTCTATATGTTAGTTAAAACAGAATTTTTGACAATTTATTTAATACAAATTATATACCTAACCAAGTTTTACAAACTTACTAGATCTGAAATATGTATCTAGTAATATCTACAGCCCCTGCATGTTGGTAAAAACAGAATTAAAGACAATTTATTTTACACACGATATATATTTGACAATATTTACATTGATATTTGATCTTGAATATATATCATTTACTAAATCTGCTGTTTATATTGCTGGATTCAAATTTATGTAACATTTTTCTGTTCATTTATATGTATTAGTTTTATATATTGAAGTTTTTTTATTCGCATACCTCTATCATTATAAAATATAATATAACATATTTTACAATTTATATTTGATAATATGTTAATAAGCATAAAATAAGCTACCTGATGTAAATTAGTTATCATAGAAACCATTATATTTTTGTAAGATATATAATATATAGCTTAAAACGAAAACTTCTGACAAATTTACCATTTTAAATGTATGTACAGAGGATGATACATGAAAAATATTATATAAAAAGGAATATTCGACCAGTTGATGTAATATAGGAACATAGATTCCAAAGCGCAAGCGAAATTTCTTTATATATTATGTGTGACATGATAAAAGTCAAGACATTTGTATTTGATAAAGGCAGCAATTAAATCAAGTAATATTGTTAAACATATATAATACGTTTTTTTTTGTAATCTTTCGTTCGTTTTTATCTTATAATGCAAGATAAACTACTTTTAACTTTTTGACAAAATGAAAAAATAAAACACTTACATCTTTTTAGATATGTAATTCTTTCCTCAAATTATATTTGCATATAACAAACATACTATAAAACTGTAAAAAAAAGTCATTTGATATATATTATATAGGGATGGTCGCTATACGTTTCCGTATCTATTAACTGTAAAATATGTTATATTATAATAAAAAAAACCTCATATATATATAACTAATACATATAAATGAACAGAAAAAAACTCACATGAATTTTAATCGAGCAATATTAACAGCAGATTGAGTAAAAAATATATATTCAATATCAAATAACAATTAAAATATTGGTCAAATATATATCATGTGTTAAATAAATTGTCTAAAATTCTGTTTTACTAACATTTAAAGGCGGAAGATATTACTAGATACATATTTCAGATCAAGTAAGTTTGTAAAAATTGGTTAGGTATATAATATTTTTTAAATAAATTGTCAAAAATTCTGTTTTAACTAACATATAGGGGTGGTCGCTATACGTTTCCGTAATTTGGAAATTTAAGAGAACAGAATGTTCTTCTTAACATACAGCAGTTGTGCACTTTAGCCTTTATCATATGAATCTCATGAAAAAAGATGTATGAATTTATTAATTAAATTAGATTATCTTGGTTTAATAAGTCGCATCTATTATTATAATATTTAACGGCCCTATTCTTGAATTGATATAAAAAAAAACATGTATAATCATTGAAAAAGATGTAAGAAATATTTATAGTATAAGTTACTCAAAGTTTCAATGCCATTTATATAAAAATAATATATAAAAGTTAAATTACAATTATATATATAATACTGGCAAAGTCTCGTGTACCGCAAGCGTGTTAACATAACGATCAACTTTTTTTACGAAACATATAAAACATCATCTAAGCTAAAAATTCAGGTAAAGAATATATATATTATATATGATTATATCATCGCTATATCTGTCAAACAAATAGTGCCTCGAAAACATACTGTTTTCAAATAAATAAAAGAGTTTACTCCAAGGAAACGTCTGCTTCTTGAGGTAGAATTTCAATGAAAAGAAGAAAAAACATATTTCTTATAAATAAAAGTAAGGTCTTAAGAAAGACTTAAGTTTATAATACGTATCTTTAACAGTATAAAAGCCAAAAAACAGAAAAGATCAATATGAACTATATTAATAACTTTAAAAAAAACCATTACGAACTATGTTGTTATCACGTGTCGTCCTATTTTAAACAGGCATATAAAATATATAAGGGGGGTCAGTATACTCTTCCGTACGTTTGGCAAATTTATTGTAATTTACTTTGCATATAAAACTAAATAATTTTCAGAATAAATTTTATTTACAATATTTAAAGCATACTTCGCTAAATATTTACATTACTTAATAAAAGAGAAATGAACAGGCCGCGAGCGTTTGATTTTTTAATTGTTTCAATATTGAAAGCATTTTTGCTTTCTTTTGTATAATTGATATGGTCTAACTTTTATAAAATTATTTATCATATCCGCAGGTTAATATCCCAACCTACGCGCAAATAGTTAGCACTATACATTTTGGTCAATAGTTCATATTAATATATCTTAAAGATCATCAAATTGATAAATTATCATATGTATTAATTAAGATATAATGGTTCATGTTTTTTAATGTATTGCTGATATCTTCATTTAAAAATTTAAAGATTGTGTGAAATTATACTGATATTATTTACGATGAGCGGTGGTCTAATGCTTAATGTGTCTGCCTCCAAACCCAGAGATCATGAGTTCGAGCCCTACACGGTACACAACCATGTACCTTTATATGATACCAGAACTGGTTGGTCCAAGGAGGCGGACTCGAAAGTGATTTATATAGACGCCTTTAAAAATGATTAGTTATAGAACACTGCATATCATTGCTGATCACGTGTGAAAGCTGAGCAATGAACTAAGTAGATATTCATTTGGAAGTTACCTTAGATATCAAGATAATATGATATTAATGGCTAAATCAGTTGATAGAATGTAGTGACAAATGTTTGATAATACTTCAAAATTATCTGTAGTGGACTTAACAATATATTTGGATAAATTACCTATACCTTCGAATAAATCTTATTTAGAAAAAGTGATATATAATTGCCGAACGATTTAAGAAAGTACCACCGACTGACAAAGACAATTATATCAGCATATCATGCTTATTACAATATTCATGGCGTTGGTTACATAATAAGGCAATTATATTAATCCACAGTTACAATGTATTAAACCCTTTTGTCAGTGTTTGTATGCACGGTAGCAATATATAAGTTGGTTGTCTCTAAGTATGAGTCCAAGTCTTATATGTGTAGTACTACAGTAGACAAATTTGGAACCAGATATCGTCATATGAATCCAAATTTTCGATATTAATTCATTTTTTTACAATATATAAAACCAATGTTTCAATGTTTTCAATTTCTGGAGCCAAAGTAGTAATAAATAAGATGTAGTCACATTAAATGATACCAGTTCTCAAATTATGGTACTAAAATAGCCATGTACGGAACTTAGAATGTTTCTAGCTTTTTTTATTTATACAATATTCAAATTGTATATACACGTGTAATTGTTTGTTTACATAACTCATTAAACTGTTTAAATTAAAAATCACAAACGGTATGAGATATTTGAGCAGATATTGTCTGGTTATTGAAGCTAAAAAAATAATTGAATATTTATGTAAGAAGAGTTCAAAACATGGTTGATAACTTTAAAAAAAAGACGTCATATAAATGAAAATTTTGTTTTTGTTGTTTTTGATTTTTTAAATGCCTTTAGGGAGTTATATAAAAAAATCATTTAACAAATAATTACAATTTTGACTATACTTTTATATAAACTTTTTTCTTTTGTGGTTGGTGTTTACATAGCACAAACACTGTAAAGATTATCCGGCAATGTTACAGCTTTACTGCTGAAGGAAGACCTCAGTTGTCCTTTCGTGCATTATTTCTGGCATGAGCCGGTACCTGAATAAAACCACCGACATTCTGTTAACTCACAAGCGTGAATGAATCAAAATTCTCTGGCGGTTTTTGAACTCATAGCGGTTAGGGGCAAGTGGTTTGAAGTCCAGTTCCATGAACAATTTAGCCTCAGATGCCCCTATCAAAATATATATGTCAAAAAAGTTAAATTAAGTAATGCATCTACCTTAATTTTAAAAACCATTTTTTGTATTTTATTACCTTTTACATCATATTATTGATTATCTAAACCGGAGTCGGTATCTATTTTTTAAATTTTCAGTTAAACACAGGGACAGCTTTTTTATTTCAAATACTGATTGTAATTCGCAATACATCCGATTGAGTAACACTCTCGAATCCGTTCCTGAAACCAACCGTTATTGAGCAATGGTGTAAAGGTTGTAGCCCAAGGAAACAACGGCTTGCTCTTGACGGAGTTTGAACTCAAAACGAAATGGTCCAAGGAAATTTAATTTACAAATAAAAAAAGAAACAAAACCAATAGAATAATAATTGGCAGTGGAATAGAATTTATAAAACTAATTGCAGGAACAAACGTGGTATAGATTTTAAGGTACTGTCCACGTTGGTCTGTAAAATAGATATTATTGCAACGTTTACTAATTAAATGACACATTCAGTGTCCGAAAATTGAACCTTTGTAGAATTTGATATGTCGCCAGAAAAAAAAGAAAAAAAAATTATTCAATTAAAAAGCAATTATTTGATATAAATTATTTGGTTTAAGGCATTTTATTCTGCTGATATGCTGAAAAGAATGTATAAATAATGTTGTCTGGAGACTCTGTGGCAGTTATTCATTAGTTTATACACACACGTATGGACAAAATGGGTGTTTTGAACATTATTGTTATGTGCATTCTATGTAAGTATATTCATTGTTCATGATAATTACTTTACGCATACTTATATTTTCGTCTAATAGTTAAGAAATAATTGACTTTAGAATAATATTATTTTTATTTCAGAAGCGGGTAACAGCACTCAATTACTTGATTGATAATCCGACAGGAATTTACGTTTTGAATGTGTATTTTATATGTTAGGTATAGATAAATGTTTAATTATAGTGACAGGAATTTACGTTTTGAATATGTATTTTATATGTTAGGTATAGATAAATGTTTAATTATAGTGACAGGAATTTACGTTTTGAATGTGCATTTTATATGTTAGATAAAAACAAATGTTTAATTATAATAACATGTGTTGCAACATACAATATGAACATATTTTGAAAAATAAAAATAAGTCAACTACCGGCCAATTGGGCCTGTAAGTCAACTTAAATTATAGACAAAACTAAGCACATATTGCAATTGTTAGCTGCATTTGTAAAGTTTATGATGACAAATACATTTAAAATATATAAACATGTACATGATTAATCACAAAAATGTGTAGTCTGAAATTTATGAATATAACTAACTTGTCTGGTATGAGATGCATTAACAAATATTTACGAATATTATCATTTAATAACACACATATTATTCTTATATATGATATCTGCAGGGCAAATAAACAGCGTCGGGGCACAAGAGATACGACCCCAAAAAGCTGGCAATTTGAAGGCAGTAGAAAATTGGTTACTGTATATAAAACTCGGCAATGACGAGGTGTGCGCAGGTGTACAGCTCTCTGACGATTGGGTTCTTACCCTTGCTGACTGCATTGATGAGAAATTGTAAGACATTTTATCATATTAATTTTGTTTAAATATATTGATTCGATATATTTTCATTATGAATGATGAACAATATTTTAACAATACATTTTGGGATTGGACAGACAGAAAGGTATGAAAAGCTTATTCAGTGTTCTCTCCTATATTGAATTGTCATTTATTTATTATTTGATGATCATTTATATTTGTCTTATTTATATTTTACCAATGCATCTAACTGTCTGAAAAGGAGAATTTCAATGTAAGGTAATAAAGCAGCATAATTACATGGAATTGCAGAATTGGTTTGAATGAGCCTTTTCTTGAGGGAAAAGTGCAACATCCCTCACGCAATCTAGCACCGGTTTAAGGGGTATTCAATTGTCCAAATTGTTGGAATCAATCATCTCTGAAGGATCAGAAAACAACTCTGAAGTAGAGGTAGATGGTGACTTATACGTCTTTCATCTATATGGGATGGGATGATTATATGGCCTGCCAAAGAAGCATAAAACAAATGTAAATTGCCAAGTTATATGTAAAAAAGGCCTTAACATCTAATAAAATGAATGATTATATACTTTAACAACAAGTCATGTGTTTTCTAAATTTTAGCAAGCTTACAAAATACAGCATTGTTTACAAAGATGGTTCAAGAAAGATTCTTGCCGAAGACCGGGTAAGTGTGATGTTTTTATCTAAGAGGAATTTGTGTAAAATTTCTTATTCGTATTATGTTTTATTTTAATGAAACCTTAAACGTTATGACAATTGGTAATCTTTCTAAAAACATTCGCACTGTAGCAAATATGTACTACATTTAAAAGAGACACTGAGGTTCAAAAGCATACACATATTCAATTTGAATTTCTGAAATAGATTAACTTGGATGCTTAAAACAAAATGATATGCAAAAGATGATTAAGAAATACTTTGAAATGTCCTTGTGAATAAAATGAATTGTTTTGTGTTAAAACATCTAATGAAATTGAACAAAAATCAGTCGTCTTACATCTCATGAACGCACTTAATAGAACGTTTTAATTGAAGTTGAAATCCAAATTTGTGAAGTTGCATTTGAAACCAATCGTAAAATGAACATATCACGCACACTGACATTTTTCATTAGTATCTTAAATTGAAAACATTCTAGGAGTTATAAGGGCACATTCACATTAAGGACTAACTGCATTATATGATATATGATAGAAACAGAATGCATATACTAGAATATCTGCTACAGGTAATGATATACCCTGTTTATTTTTAGCTCACCTGTCACAAAGTGACATTTTGAGCTTTTGTGATCGCGTTTGTCCGGCGTCCGTCCGTCGTCCGTCCGTCTGTCGTCCGCCCGTCCCTAAACTTTTACTTTTAACGAAATCTCCCCATAAACCGCTCAGCCAATTTCATCCAACTTCACAGGAATGTTCCTTTGGTAGTCAACTTTTAAAATTGTTCAAAGAATTTAATTCTAAGAAGAACTCTTGTTGCCATGGCAACCGGCTGAAAACTATTAAAATACCTAATTTTTGAAAACCGAAAAAGGTAGAGCTTAAATATTTGGCATGTAATATCATCTAGCCAGTGTCTACCAAGTTCATTCAAATACATGCCATGGGGTCAAAACTGGCCCCGCCCTGGAGGGGGGTCATTGATTTTCCTTATTTGTATATAGTAAAAATTAAAAATCTTCTTTTGAAAAGCCCAAATAGCTAGAGTTTAGATATTCAGCATGAAACATCTTCAAGTTTGTTCAAATAAAATCCCTGGGATCAAAATTGGCCCCGCCCCAGGGTGTCATTGTTTTTCCCTTTATGTGTATAGTAAAAACTTTAAAACAATCTTCTTTTAAAAAAACCCTAAGAGCCAAAGCTAAGATATTTAGCATGAAAATCTTCTAATGGATGTATTCCATTTTTTGTTCAAATAAGGGCCCTTGGGTGAAAAATGGCCCCGCCCGGGGATCATTGATTTTTCTTATATGCATATATTAAAAACTTAAAAAATCTTTTTTTAAAAAGCCCAAATAGCTAGATCTTAGATATCAAGCATGAAACATCTTCTAGTGGGTGTCTACCAAGTTTGTTCAAATAACGGCCCTGGAGTCAAAATTGGCCCCGCCCCGGGGATCATTTATGTTTCTTATATGTATATAGTAAAAACTTAAAATATCTTCTTTAAAAAAAACCTTTAAGATATTTAGCATGAAACATTCTCTAATGGGTGTCTACCATATTTGTTTAAATAAGGGCCCTAGGGTTAAAATTGAAACCTTGAAAAATCTTCTTTTAAAAAGCACAAGAACTAAAGTTTAGATATTAAGCATGAACTATCTTCTTGTAAGTGACTACCAAGATTGTTAAAATGTAAGCCCTGGGGACAAAATTAGCCCCGCCCAGAGGGGGGTCATTGTATTTCCCTATATGTGTATAGTAAAAGCTTAAAAATCTTCTTACAACTAGAGGCAAGATATTCATCATGAAATATCTTCAAATGGGTGTTTACCATGTTTGTTAAAAAAAAGCCCCTGGGTTAAATTTGGCCCCGCCCTGGGGGCCTATAAACAGGTGAGCGATTTCAGGGCCATCATGACCCTCTTAATTCTTTTCTCGTTTTTTTTCTTTTTGTTTGGTAAATATTGACATATGCTATAAAAATGTAATTTCACCGTTGGTCATTAAATCATCTATTAAAGGACTCCGTGGGAAAGTTATTTATCCTTCTTAAGATGAAAAAGGAAAAAGAACCAACACAAACAAAGTTCACACAACTTGCTGACTCTATGTTACCTTCTTCAGAGTACAAGTTTCATCTGTTCAATCGAGACGATTCTGGTAAATTATAAAAATAATGAATACGAGGGGATAAGATATACGTATAAAGTCTGTTCAATTAAATTGTTAAAAATAACTTCTATTCAACAACATTTTGATATCTTCGTTCGTTAATGTATTTAGATAACGCTTTAATTATTTGTCTAGAACTAAAGTAATTAAATAAATCCTGGCTTTGTCATTCAAAGTATACATTTGTTATCAACAATGAAACATAGTGAAAGAAAAAAATATTAATATGCGATTCAGAAAATAAACAACAAACTCCTTGATAAAAGGGTTTAACCCCTAAAATTGTTGAGATTAATAAACTTTTGGAATAGATATTAATTTATCAACAATGAAGTCTTGAGTAAGTATTAGATCAATGCTTTGTTTTACGATTCTATTCCCGATCACTTTGGTTATAACTGTATCATTACAGATAAAATTATTGCAAATGAAGTCGATTATGTCAGAGGCACTCAATGTGAGAAGGAAGAAATTGATGGTAATTTTGGCGAGACACATAAATGTGTTCAAGGCAACATGAATAAAAAAGCTAGATGTCTAGTACGTAGAAATTTGAAATTGTTTTATTTAACAGTATTCACTACGGAAGCTTATCAGGGCCTCCACTTAAGTTTCACGTCATAACAACTTGTTCCATCTTGATTTGACAAAAAACGCCCAATGAAGACGTAATTAATTATTCGTAATACATACAAGTTTTTAATCTTTGCGAATAAACTTTTATTGAATTACGTCAACTATTTGTCAATGCGAGTACATCTTTGCGTATTACTAAATAAATCAGCAAAGTCGTGAAATCAAAAAGCGGTAAAGCGAATTTTTTTCCGACTAGATTGTTGTGGAAGAAACAAAAGCCTCAAGCAAATCGATACAAGTTCAGTTGCAATGCCAGTAAATTTTATTCAGACATGCAAAATCATCTTCGGAAGCTCATCAGGGCCTCCACTTATCTAGAGATTTCACGTCACGTCAACTTGTTTCTCCTCGTTTTGACCAAATACAGTCCATGAAGACGTTATGATTAATACGTTATACATAAAACATTCCGTGAAGATGTTATGATTTATACGTAATACGTATAAGTTTTAAATCATTGCAACAATCTTTGTTGAGTTACGTGCGCTATTTGTCAATGCGAGTAACGTCTTAACGTCTAACTAAATATTTCAGCAAAGTCGTGAAATCAAGAACTTTCGACATGATTTTTGTAGAGGAGACAAAAGCTTCAAGCATATCGAGAAAATTTCAGTTGCAATGCCTAAAAGCTTCTCATCTTTGTCAGTAAATTTTATTGAGAAATGCAAAAACATAAATGCGAATAAAAATAAGTTGACTTAGCGCAAAACATCTCACCGACTGTAGGCCCTGATACGCTTCCGTAATCATCTGAATATGAATAAGAATGCCTTGCCCAAAGATAATTACTGTGGTATTTTTTTCTATTTTTTTTCTAATCGTATTAGATACGGAAGCGTATCAGGGCCTACAGTTGGTGAGATGTTTTGCGCTAAGTCGACTTATTTTTATTCGCATTGATAAGATGTTTTTGCATTTCTCAATTAAATTTACTGACAAAGATGAGAAGCTTTTGGGCATTGCAACTGAATTTTTCTCGATATGTTTGAAGTTTTTGTCTCTTCGACAAAAATTATGTCGAAATTTCTTGATTTCACGACTTTGCTGAAATATTTAGTAAGACGCAAAGACGTTACTCGTATTGACAAATAGCTCACGTAATTCAACATTTTTGCAATGCTTAGAAACTTCTACGTATAACGTATTAATCATAACGTCTTCGTGGAAAGATTTATATATTACGTATAAATCATAACGTCTTCATGGAATGTTTTTGATCAAAACGAGAAGAAACAAGTTGACATGACGTGAACATTTAGATAAGTGGAGGGGCTGATAAGCTTCCGTAATAATCGTATAAAAACGTAGTGATTAATTAAGGAAGATCCTATAAGAAATTTCAAATGTCTAAAGAAAACTTATTACTAATGGCCGTTTCGAAATCTTAAGATACATTCTTTTATCCTGAGAAAAAATAAGAGATGTATTTTCAGACTTACTTTTTTAAAAAGATAGTTGTTTTGGAAGATGATTACATCTAAGATTTGCTACTTAGTTGTGAAGAGGAAGTAAAGGTCTGAGGCGACTTGTACACGGCACTTTATTTTCTTCCTTTTTGTGACTCGCATAAAAATTCTTGCTGTGGTTATCAATTTACCATATTATACGAAATGGTTCTTATAGAACTAATTTACAACACTTATTCATAATTCACAATTTTAAAACAAAGATGTACTGTCAGATCTGAATGATGTGAAAATTCTTGCCTCGGTGCAACCACCTGTTACCTGGCTTCGTTGGAAGGATATTGCACCCGGTTGCTAAGAAATCAATTGTAAAGATATATTTTATGAAAATTTTAGCCAGGAAGTCCAGTGTTTGGATCCAAGAAAAAGGAAATAATTCTGCAAGGACTTGCAGTTACATCATCTGATCCTTGCTCATCACAGCTTCAATCTATTGCAGTCATAAAACCGCAAGTTAACTGGATCAACTCGGTCATTATTGGTATTTATTTTAAAAAAATATTTTTTCAATGCCATTCTCCTGTTCTACATTTTGTAACATTTTTCAAAACAATTAAATTACACTGTTTCTCTACGTTTTCAACATTCAATTTGTTATATACATTTTGAACATCTTGTACATGTAATGCATATACTCTTCAGACCTTGTATTTAAACATTATCAGATTGCGGTCCAATTAAAACTTTTCGGAATGGCAAGGTAAAGCTTAACAAAAAATCTCTGACAACAATTGGATCCACAGCAACTATAAGATGTGATCCTGGGTATGAGGCAACTCAAAAGGAAATCGTTTGCCTAGAAAACGGGAAATGGGAAAAACCAAGTTGCGAATTAAAAGGTAAGGGCTAGCTAATTATAACAAATAACAAACATTCTCACTATGTGACATATAAGCAAATGACAGTTGTATGAGGTTTAGAAGAAAACGATTAACAGCCTGGTTTTTGTGAAATTATATACAGTTTACAGGAACAATAAGCTGACAACTGTATCTAGCTTACGGGATTTTGGTGGTTCTACTCAGGTGTTAGCTTGTTCATGAAATAATGCTGAGGTCTTCCGTAACCAGTAAAAGCTTGATAGTCGTCATATGGCCTATACTGTGTTGGTGCGTTGACGTTAAACCTATTTATACTTGGCCATATTACAAACAAGACATCTGTATTATAACTAATAATATACAGAGATAAGTTGTGTATCATTCGCACACAGATGCTAATAACAACTATCTCGTAGACCTTGTTTTTCTTATTTATTATATTTATAGTATCTCTAAATCGCTGTTTCTGTACATATATGTAGACGAGATTGATTTTGATTTGTTAAAACAAAACAAAACAAAAGGATCTATAATATTTAATTCAGTATGTTACAAATAGTTTCTTTTCAAAACGATATAATTATCAATATTACTTATATATGTTTTTTACAATTAATTAATTAATTAATTGATTAATTAATCAATTAATTAATTGAAACTCATACTTATCAATATTTGTTGTATATCTGTTTGCTCTTTAATATTTCAAATGGTAGCAAATTGGCACTTTATGATGCTTAATTTACATAGAATGAGATATTGTTGCTTCTTATTGTTTAATCTGACAATTTCAGATTGCGGAGCCGTTGAAAAGATCTCAAATGGGAAAATAATCTTAGACGATGCATCATCATCGACAATGGGGGCAACAGCGACAGTTGAATGTGATCCGGGCTATAAGGCAAGCCGGGAAAAAATAAAGTGCCTAAAAACTGGGAAATGGGGAAAATCAAGTTGCAAAATAAAAGGTACTTTTCAAAAAAAGTTTTACACAATCAAAAGTGTTTATTATACCGATTGAAATTTTCATTGCTTTCCTCTCTCACATGAAAAACAATAATTAACAAAGATTGCCGTTTATAAGTAACAATGCTTAGTTTGTTAAGATGCTGCTGGTAAGATCTTGTGGCGAGCCAGCGCAAGTTCTTTGATTCTCTTGATTACTTGCGGCAAAGTTATTAATGACTGATAGATAAGTATTCCAAGGAAGCTGGTCACAATGATCGATCGACAAGTTATAAACAAAATAAGGTCTTATAATCGGCAAAAAGAAAATACTTGGGAAAAGATCTTTTAACAACATTTGATTTGTTATTGCTCAGGAAAGTAGGTCTCCCCATCGTAGAATTATATTATATTTTGTATTTAAAAATGATAAACAATATCAACAAGGAAAGGCAGTGTTCAATGTACGCAATCACCGCACAAACCTGCAACAAGAACCAGTGGCAAGGAGCCCAGACGGGCTCCACACAAAAACGGGACAGGGCACAAGGCAATGCACGGGCAAGCTAATCACTAAAATGATCAATTATTTGTAACTGATAAGGAAATCAAAGAAATCAAACAAATGACTGAATAATTTGCAAACGACAATGAAACCAAAGATCTTATGTTTTTATGATTGTGTTTCCTACTGTAAGCTACATACAAATTAAAAAATATTTTCATTAGTAAAAGTTGGCACTAATTTCAGGGATATCTATTTCGAACCCTGCAGTATCGAATCTAAGAGACTTAAAAGGGTTGCCATGTGACCTATACTCTGTTGAAGCCCAAAAACTGTTTATACTGGGCCATAGTAATATGTACCAGAAAGGCATATGCATTATAACTAAATATATACAGTGTTACGAGCCAGGCGTAACGAGAAAGAAAAGCCAGCAACAAACTTGTAACAATAACAAATTTATTATAGAAAAATTATTAAAGAAAAATAAAATAACAAATTATCTTAACAAATACCTGAAGTCCATTTAAAAATTACAAATGTCTAGTCTGATCCTGGAATGATCCTTTTTCAATAGCACAGTTAAATCCAAGTTAAATCCAAGAACACTTTAGAATAAATTCCCACAATAAAATCCACAAGAATAATTAATAATCCAAGCTCCAATAAATCACTTAATTTCCAAGTTGAATAATACTCCAAATATATTGATGACTTAAAAGATCACTGATGACTAAAAAGGTAAAGGTAATGAAAAAAATGTCACTTTATATATATTAACTAAGAAAATTCCAGAAAGGTCTATTATGTTCTAAAGTAATCATAATCTAGCAACTTCAACTATAAAGAACATTCCAGAAGTTTCTATCTAAATATAATGCATGAGTTTTCTACAACAGTTAAGAAAGTTCTAGTACATACATGTAGTTAATGTTCTAAAAATAGAACAATGATAATATTGGAAATACCAACTGGTCAGATATAAATTATATACATGTAATATGTTGCATACATAACAACAGACATAGGTTTTATACCATTAGCATACAAATGTGTATTACATTTATATACTTTCTTTCTTCTTATTTTTTATATTTGTTGTATCTCTTAATCGTTGGTACTGTATAAACATGTAAACGATTTTTTTTATTAAACACAAGTGTTTCTATTATTTAGTTTATCATGTAAATTAAGTTACATATAGTTCTTTTTTATACTTATCATATTTATTTATATATACCTTTTACATACTTATCAATATTTGTTTAATATCTTATAGTTTTCAAATGTGTATAAATTAGCACTAATAAGGAGATAAAGATGCTTGTTATTTTTAAATCTGACAATTACAGACGTTGACAAAATCCAAAATGGGAAAATTTTCTTATTTTTTAAGGATTTAACTCAATACAGGATTGAAGCAGTACCTCTAGACGCTTGCAGAAATCATGATCCCAAAATAAACAAATATAGTTTTTTTCGCCGATTTTTACATTTTTCATTCATTATCATACATAATTCGGTGTAAAAAGATGAATTAGACCTATTAAAGTTCATTCCGTTTGGTAAAAAGGCAAGATTTTAGCATTTAATGATTCAAGCGCATTAAAAATTGCCCGGTATATACCGGAATACGGTATATAGTGTGGTGCTCCAATCCATATTTAAGTCTCACTCATTTTTTAATCTGATAATTACAGATTGCGGAACCGTTGACAAAATCCAAAATGGGAAAATAAACTTAGACGATGCATCATCATCGACAATGGGGGCAACAGCGACAGTTGAATGTGATTCTGGCTATAAGGCAAGTCGCGAAAAAATAAAGTGCCTAAAAACTGGAAAATGGGGGAAATCAAGTTGCAAAATAAAAGGTATTAATAACATACATAGAGGATATTGAATGAGTGTAGTTTAATTCTAAATTTATTGAACGAGTTGAATAAAATCATATTATGCGAGTCTCTGGCAAGCATAATATTGTTTTATTCAACACGTTCATTAAATTTATTATTGAATCTACACGAATATAATATTCTTTTTATCACATATATGAAATAAGAACAGGAAACTATTAAAATGAGTAATTTTTCAATGACGCGCCCATATTCTAACGCTAACATTAGCGCGCTTAAACGCTATGTTTCCATATAGCGCAAATGACGTCACGTTAAAGTGTCATTACTCTAGTGTAATATCGTTTTTATTAAATGGCTTGGCAGGAGTGTTTTTCCCCAATCAAACACTTATATATCGAAAGGGTTTGTATATTCGATATATTTTCGTACCATTTGCAAGCAGGCTTTCTATATGATAATTTAAATGAGATCAAGAAATTAATTCGTATCTTCGTCTAGTGAGATTCATGAAATATTGACAATGCGATAACAATTACCTTATTTCTTTTATTGTGCCCATCCTTTTTCTATTTAATATCAATGAAAATAATTTATTTAAAAATGGCATCCTTGCCATTAAATACAGATATTACAAGTTTCGATTGGAACTTTCCACAGAGAATGTTACCTTTAGATTTCACATAAGACAATCATTTGAATTAGACATTTGAAGAAGACAACTCGGAAACAACGTTATAACAATACGCTCTTTTACTTTGTAATATTACCATAAATTTCTAAATGAACTTCCATGCAGGAATATGGAAGTCCACGTTTGGTTTGCCAGAATGTCTAATTGAAAATGATTTTCATTGTTTTTTTAAAACATCGTCAGATTGCGGACCAGTTGAGAACGTTCGCAAAGGAAAAGTAGTCCTTGACAATAAGTCGACATCGACGGTTGGGGCAACAGCAACTTTGAAATGTTTTCCAGGGTATAAACCAAATCAAGAGAAAATAGTTTGCTTGAACACAGGGAAATGGGAAGAAACAAGGTGCAAAATCAAAGGTAGTTTTCAACGCATATTTTTTTATTTCTTCATGATTTATCCGGAAATGCTATAAACACATCATCTGTTCAACATAAACTGTTGACTTGTTTTTATTTCTCAGACTTTAGGACTCGTTAATGCCATGAATTCAGTAACTTGACAAAATAATCAACTTTTTTTTCCATTTTGTTACCAATAATGATTTTTAAATATCGAGAATGCATATGATATTTTGGAGAATGTTGAAAGGTGTAAAATGAATTATTATTATTATTATTATTATTATTATTATTATTATTATTATTACATGTGTATTATTATTATTATTTATGGTGGCATATTTCTGCCAAAATTAACCATAAAATTATCGCTTTAACAATCTTACCTATTAGTTAGCTTGCAGTTCAAACAAGAAATAACAAATCAGACTTACTAATTATTTCTTTTCTGTTAGATAGATTTTTTATACAGAATATCATGTTGAAGTAGCTCTCTGAGGCTGTGTTTTTTTGCTACGAGCAATCTGATATCTCGCGTGGCAGAATATCGAGTGAGATATATATTTTCCAACGTTCCAAAGTATATTGAAATGTGTATATTAAGTCCGTTTTAAACACGATATTATATACATTTTGACATGTATGTATGAAACACAAATAAAGCCTATCAAGCTATATTTAATGATGTTTACTTTTGAAACAAAATATCTGTACAATTATGCTTTTTTCATTCGAATAGTATACGGAAATAGGAAACAAAACATTTAGCAGCTATCTAAAGTAAATTGAACGATATTTTCACGCATGCCCCACTCGCTGTCAATAAAATATTCAGAGGAATTCTTTCATTCTAGGTATTACGGTAAATATAAATCATTATCCCCAACTATGTTTTACGTAATGATATCAATTTTAAATGTAACAAATGAATTTAACCATTATTCAGACTGTGGATCTCCATTAAATGTGACCAATGGTAATTTGCACTATAACGGAACAACGTTTGGATCAATCGCTTCTCTGGTCTGTGATACAGGATATGATGGAAACGGGACAATAAGCTGCCTTGACACTGGCAGTTGGGAAACACCACCAAGATGTTCTATTAAAGGTCAATTTTTAATTTATCAATATCATACTTTATTATTAAGAACTTTTGTCAACACATTTGTTAAATATACATTTAACTACAATATAAGCCCGGACGTAAATGATTTATAAATGTATTTTTTTTGTTACTGTATAGGCTATTCGAAAAAATATCTGTCCCCGTATTACCTTATAGGTATTGTACTAATATCTTATGTTTGTATATCACCTTTATATATTTTTCATCCAATATTTGTCTTATGTTATTTTATGAAACATTATATGCATCTTTTTAAAAGTTGTACCGCTAGGACAACGTTAAATAATTGAAATCTGGAACAGGAACATCGAACTTCATGGTAGAATAACGCTACTGATGAAAAATATTTTCTGTTTCATGATGTTTAAGATTAAAAGTCCCAGGGATCTTATACAAAATATATGCTTCCTCCCATTTCTTTACAAAAAAATAAATATAAATCAATCGACCCCTGAGTGTCTCACTCAGATATCAAAAGACTGTTCTTGTATTTTTTAGCTGACCAGACAGATTCCGCTCACATTTGTAGCTCAACAAAGAACAAAAATCTTCATATGATTTTTTGTGATTTTTTAGAGTTGGTCGTCCTGTTTGATTTTTCATGATTTTTTAACATTTGTCATTTTGTGTTAGTACGTGCGAGCTTACAATTTGGTTTCTTTGTGGCCATGGGTAAAATAGGAAACAGTAGAGTGTCCTAGTGAAAAAGTTTGATGTTATTCGTCCTTTTAGAAACCTGACAAGCCTTACTATATTTATTTTGGCGTGTTTATATGAAATATAGATTAAAGTGTATGAAGCTATGTCTGATGATGTTTTCTTTTGAAACAAAATAACGGTATAGTTATGCCGTTTTTTAAATGAATAGTGTACGAAAATAGGATAAAATGTTCCGGGGAAAAATATAAAGCAGCTACTTTTTAAATAAATATAAACAATTTTCCACCTATATTTTACGTCAAGATATAAATCTGAAATGTAACTAATGAATCTAACCATTATTCAGACTGTGGGTCTCCATTAAATGTAACCGATGGTAATTTACACTATAACGAAACAACGTTTGGATCAATCGCTTCTCTGGTCTGTGATACAGGATATGATGGAAACGGGACAATAAGTTGCCTTGACACTGGCAGTTGGGAAACAACACCAAGATGTTCTATTAAAGGTCAATTTCAATTTTTTTATCAATTAAAACTTTGTTTAATATTTAGAACTTTTGTCAATAAATAAGTAATGTGTATATTTTACTGCAATGGAATTCTGCACGTTAATGAGTTATATGTATGACTGTATAGAATATCTAAAAACGATCTATCAAGGGTTATACCGTAATACTTAATAGGTATGTTACAAAATATGTGTTTTATATTATCATTTTTATATTGTGTCATTCTGTAATGTTTTTACCTTAAAAACAAATTTTGCAAAGCCTATGAGCCAAAAAGTCGGTTAAAGCATTGTTCATATTTTACTTAACATTTTCCGTTTAAAAGATGTAATTCGGTATTTCATGTACCACTTATGTTTTCACTCGAAACACATTGACGACTTTTTATGCCGAAAAGGACAATTTAAGCCGTTATCGGAATACCCGCCTATTATCATAGTTATACATTCAAAATGGCGGCGTCCAACTAGATATGAAACTGAAAACCTCACTGATTTAAAGATCTGTATATTTTTGAATTGTTCCTTTTTATATGATTTTCTTTTAGATGCACACGTCTCAGGCAAAGTGTGGATACGCTACGCGGACACGGCCCTTGGTTTCCCGTATTATTGAAGTTTTTTATTTAGCTATTCAGAAATGTACTTCTTGGATTTAAAATCTTGAACAAAAGAAATGCAACTTCATGATAAGAGAACGCTACAGATAAAATAATGTTTTTTTTTGGAGAAAAAAAAAACAAAAAAAACAACAAAAAACAAAAAACAAAAACAAACTATTCTTAGTTAATTGGGCGATTGTTTCACGCATGCCCCACTCGCTGTCAATACAATATACTGCGGAATAATTTCATTCTGGTATTCTAGTTAATCGTTACAATGAATATAAACCATTTTCCCCACCTATGTTTAACATCATAATGTAACTAAGGAATTAATCCATTATTCAGATTGTGGGTCTCCATTCAATGCGACCAATGGTGAAGTGCACTATAACGCAACAACGTTTGGATCAACCGCTTCTCTGGTCTGTGATAGAGGATATGATGGAAGCGGAACAATAAGCTGCCTTGACACTGGCATTTGGGAAACACTACCAAGATGTTCTATTAAAGGTAAATTTTATTTTTTATCAATTTCAAACTTTGTTTAATATTAAGAAATTTTGTCAATGCATTGGTTATATAAACATTTGATTAAAATATAAGCCCGGGAGTTAATGATATATAAAGGTATTTTATAATTGTTTCTGTGTAGGTGATTCGAAAAAAGGGAACGTTAAAAAAATAAAATCTGGAACCGGAACATACAACTTCATGATAGAATAACGCTACTGATAAAAATTGATTCTGTTTCATGACGTTTAAGATTAAATGTCCCAGGGACCTTAAACACAATATATGTTTCCTCCTTATCCCTTACAAAAATGTTATATATTAATCAATCGGCCCCTGAACTATCAAAAGACTGTTCTTGTATTGTTTTAGCTGACCAATGCACATTCCACTCACATTTGTAGCTCAACAAAGAACAACAATCTTTATGCGATTTATTGTGATTTTTACCGTTGGTCGTCCTGTGTAATTTAACAAGCTTTTTACCACTAGTCGTCCTTTGTCAGTATGTGCGCGCTTACAATTTGGTTTTTATGTGGCCATGGGTACAATAGGAAACAGTAGATTGTCCTTGTTAAAATGTTTGATATAATTCGTGATTTTTAAAATACTACAAGCTTTTCTGTATATGTACATTTTGACGAGTTTATATGAAATATAAATTGAAATGTATTTAGCTCTGTCTGATAATGTTTACTTTTGAAACAAAATAACGGTAAAATTATGCCATTTTTATATGAATAGTGTACGGAAATAGGATAAAATGTTCCGGGAAAAATATAAAGCAGCTATTCTTTGTTCAATATACGATGATTTCGCTCATGCCCCACTCGCTGTCAATAGAATATACTGAGGAATATTTTCATTCTAGGTATTCTTGTTCATCGTTACGGTAAATATAAACCATTTTCCCCAACTATGTTTTACGAAATGATATCAATTTTAAATGTAACTAATGAATTTAACCATTATTCAGACTGTGGATCTCCATTAAATGTGACCAATGGTAATTTGAACTATAGTGCCACAACGTTTGGATCAACCGCTTCTCTGGTCTGTGATAGTGGATATGATGGAAACGGGACTATTAGCTGCCTTGACACTGGCAGTTGGGAAACTCCACCAAGATGTTCTATTAAAGGTAAATTTTATTTTTTTTATCAATTTCAATCATTATCAATATTCGGAATTTTTGTCAATAAATTTGTAATGTGTATTTTTTACTGCAATGTAATCCCGGACGTTAATGAGTTAAAATTGAGGTATATGTATTATTGTATAGAATATTTGAAAAAGATCAAGAATGACACTTTATTACCTTATATGTGTTCACATTATATGAGATTCATTTTTATTATCGCCCATATATTGTGTCATTCATTAATTTAATTCATTTAATTCTTACGTTTATATAAAATTTGGCAAAGCCTTTGAGCGGGAAATCGCTTACAATTTTACTTAACAGTTTCTGTAAAAAAAGGTGTAATTTGGTATTTAATTCACCACTTCTGTTTTCAATCGAACACCTCCACGATTATTTTTTAAGCCGAAAAGTTGCGATTGTTCCTTAATCGGAATACTCTGCCTATTATTATAGTGTTTCGTTTAAAATGTCGGCGCCCAACTAGATATGACATTGAACATTTCACTGATTAATCAATCTTTATATTTTTGAATTCTTTTGTTTTTGTTTTTTTGTTTTTTTTTGTTATTGTTTTGTTTTTTTCATTTGATTTTTAGAAAAAAATATTTACGTGTTGTCCATAGCCGTGCAAGTTAAAGCTAGGCCCCGCTTCGCGGACATGACCTTTGCCTTCCCCGTATTATTGAAGTTTGATATTAAGCTTTACAGAAATGTACCTCTTGGACAACATTAAAGAATTAAAATCTGGACAGGGAAATACAACTTCATAATAGGATAACGCTTCAGAAAAAAACATAAGGTTTTTGATCCATGACGTTAAAAGTTGAAGCTCACAGTGATCTTTAACATGATAATTGTTTCCCAAACACTCCTTACTAATATGTATGATATTAAATAAATGAAAGTCTTCTCAAGAACACAAGAATGGTTTATTACGCAACTTTCAAATCTTTTTACCTATTTTCACACGTTCTTATAGTTTGCAGTTTTCAATTTGTTTTGCTTAAATTGCACCAAATGAATGACACATTCAAATCGTGTATAGGCCAAATGATCGAAGATCATCATTATTATGACGTTAATTATTTAACCTATTTTTGAAAATTTTTATCTTCATGATTTTATTCTCAATATTTATTAATTAACTTTTAAAGTTTAATGTATATTAATAATTGACATTATTTTGTCCTTTATAAAGTCTTTAAACTTTTACTGAAATATGTAAATATATTTCATGTATTACAAATTTAGCGCCGTAATAAACTATCAATACGTTTTTTTTAATTGATATATAAAGTGTTTGATAATATGGTTGTAAAAACTTACGCCTAACTGCTCATTGTATTTGTATATCTCATTGTAATTCTTCACCAACCTTAATAATGCTCTCAATGTTGTTTTGTTGTTATGTGCTTACTTTTAGTTCCTGAATGTCCTGGAGGATGGAGCAGATTTGAAAATAGTTGTTATCTGCGTGTAGAAAATGCGACGACATGGGAAATTGCCAAAGTAATGTTATTTCTTTAATTATCCTATACTGTTTAGCAGTTCGCCCAACTGATAATATACTCCATCTACAACATGTTTTATAGAAACACTGGCTCCTAAATGAATATAAGAACGTACATTCCATGCAAAACAGCCTTTTTGTACCTAAGTGCATTTTAACGTGGGCAGTGTAATCAGTTTGAAGGATAAAATATGTCTGCTTAATTGAAGATATTTAGAAAGATATTGTTTTAAATAAGTTCTTTAAAAAATATAATAACGTTCAGTATTCTTTAAAGATAACATACTACGACTATAACATTTTATTTATCAAGCAGTGCTGTAGATATACAATAATATTAACTCAATATTTTGCTATATATTTCTTTCCTTTAAAAACAACCATATCTCCTATCGCTGTAGCATTTTTACAGACAAAAATAAAATTAAAGTACAAACATACATCTATCTTGAAAAACTCTGATAAGATTTTCTAGCAACAAATGCAAACATTAATTCAACCAAAGAAATTGTAATAATGAATTACTAAATGCAAGTTCCCATAAACCATTAGTTTGACTGTAAAAATGACAGCTTTTTATTCTTAATTATAAATGTCACTTTCTGTAATTAGGTACGTTAACATATTTTTGATAAGTTTTTAATGTTAACAATTTAAAATAGTTTTTCATAATGTTTTAAAGTGGGCAAAACGTGTCTTCAGATCGTTATGAAACAACTCTACTATAAGGCAAAACATTTAAATTCCGCATATCATTTATTTTCGAACTTTAAACAAGAGGGAAATGATTGCACTGAAATCGCTAACCTGAATATAAAAATTCTCCATGACAAGGCACACGAAATATTGTAAACTATAAGCAAAAGCAAATGTAAATCTAAATCTAAAACTGATATCAAAAAGTTCATAATTATCTTTCCGTCTCGGTCACAATTCCGAGTAAAGACACTTTGGTTTTCAGCGAAATTAAATAGTAATAGCTAAATTCTCACAAGATATATTTACATGTATCAAATAGATGACACAAGTTCTATACATTTGAAGCTACTTTGCTATATTTTCTTGGCACAATCTCTCGCAGAAAACAATAGAGAGAGAAACAAAATGGATCACAAATAGTGACGTCAAACTTTTGTACTAAAATATAATAGGACACATACATGTTTATTTAAAATAATAAATATATGGAGTTGTTTTTTCTTCTGCAGAATGATTGCGAGTCAAATAAAGGATACCTTGTTGAAATCATCTCTAGCTCTGAATACGGCTTTCTTCAAGGGAATCTCAATATTCGAGGCAAGTTAAACGTTATAACAGTATAGCATTTAAAGGGACCAGCTTATTACTTTATAGTTGTTTTGAGTTTACGTTGCAGCAACACATTTAATACCTTATAGCGACTTCCTTATTTGTTTGGTTCATTTTGTGTATTTTACCAATAACATGTTCTTACAATTTTTAACTTACCAAGTTTTAAACGTCGGTGTAATCGAGACCCGTCCCTGCACACACGTATCTCACTGGAAAGAACCCTTTGCTCTAACCAGTAAACATACATATGTACGTTCGAATTGATTTTGACGTTTAAAAATTAACGAAGCAAAGGTTTGCTGTAAAGTTTTATTTTGGATATCTGATTGGTCCAATTTAAAATCTTCAAGTTAGCTCCAGTTTGGCATTTTTACAATAATGCAATCAGATCTTTTCCAAAGGACACTGCCGAACGATCTGATATTTAACATTTTATGAAAACCCAAGATCATTTAATTACATTTTTTTTCTAGAAACTGTCATAGTTTTTGTAACATTTTCTTAAACATGATGACGTTATGCCTGTCAAGTGCACAATTTCAGGGAACAATCAGTTGAGAGTTGTACTCTTTGATATAAATTTATTGTATATTTTGATATTGATATGTGACATAACAATTTTATTTATTGTGATTTCAAAAATTTCATTCACATAATGTTTTTGAACTTCAAGGTTTTTAGAAGGGGTCTTGGGGATGGCCTTTGACTTGTTACGGAACTGTCTATGCGCCGGACACTCGTGTCTATAATCATTCATTTCACTTAAAAAGACTTGAAGACCGGACATTTCTTTGGTTAACAACGAAATTACTTATAAAGTCATGTGTAGTGTAGTGAATAGTTTTACAAAGGAAAATAAACTTAGCTTTCATTACAAAAAGTATATAATTGACATCTCTATGAATATGTGTATTTACTTCAGTGACATAAACAATGTATACACTGTAAGATATCTATAGAGTAGAGTTATCAATATATAAAGTATATGCTTTTGAAATCTATTTGTTTGACTCTCTAAAAGGCAAAAAGTTGTATCAAATGTGTCAGCTTACAATGAACAATATAGATATTGAAATTGAAATTTCTTTGTAACAAAATATAACCGCCACAAAAACAATCACCTTTACAGTAACATGAAAGACGTGTTGAATTTAAATATATAGCTTCATAGAAAGGATTTGATTTTTTAGCCATATTGAAACCTTCATGTCCATATGCTGGAATCCATGAGAAAATGTATGAAGAAATGTAGATTAAATTGAAAAAAATGCATATTTTCCCCGCACAAAAAAGATGGCAAGGGATATGCAAATAATCTCTTTCATGGGTTCATCCGTTCTTCTTCTGATTAATATATATACCACTTTTGCTAAGCACCATTAGTTAAATTGTATACTGTCACAAGTTTAAAACAGATTTCTTTCCAATTTTGTCAAATACTGATAACACAATGTTTTGAGATAGTCCCCTAATATATCCATATTGACTTATCCGTTACAACTCGTCTTGGTAGCATTGAAAGCACGCACCCTTATATTTTCATGTGTTTGATTGTGTGTACAATCTATTGTCATTCAGTGGCTTACATATCTTTGATCTGTCACTTTGATATGGCGAATGCTAACATTAGGCGACATTTGAGAGAAGCAGAGTTGTGGAGGGCTAAAGGGATGGCGCAACTGGGTGGCCACCTTCCACCAGGTTGATGCGACTTTAATGTAGTAAACACCAAACCGCCATCACCAAAGCCTTGGATAGATACATGCTACATAGTACACCTACCATGAGGCATGCTGGAGGTAGGCAAAGAGTCAAAAAACCAGCTCAGGATCGGTTTTTGGTCGTCCATGTACGTCGTGCAAGGTTTTCAACAACGACTTCTTTTCGAAATGATAGCTAATGCTGAGGGTGTCCGTGTTTTCATGCAGACCATACGTAGAATGCTGTATGAGGGTAATTTTCTGTCGAGAAGACCTTGCATACGTATCTCCTTGAAGCGTCGACATGGCCAGGCCGGTTACGAATGGACCATGGAGCATTTACATGGATCATGCAACATTAGATACACTTTCTGTTCACTGATGAGCCCAGGTTCTGTATAGACCTCAATGATAGGTGTGCTAGAGTTTTAAAAGACAGGGTGAATGGTTAGAGACTGAAAATATTGCTGAGTGTAAGTTATTGGATGGGGAGGAATACGCAGGAATAGACAAATCGATCTGATTGTGCTAAATAGAAAATGGGAAGCCATATCCCTTAGAACGATCAAAAACCTAATAGGGACAAATTTGAAAAGCACGCTGCATGTTCTGAAATCTTCTAAGAGCGGTCATCCTCTTCTTTAGCACAAAATCGGTGTAAATCTTATTTATAGGGTTAAATTCGTCCTTAAGCTTAATTGATAAAAAGAGGAAATCAACATTTAAAACCTTCCAAACGGCGTTAATAAAATTTGCCACAAAAATAATTTCACTCAAACATTGGTAGTATATATACAACTGAAGGAGTCCCCTTGGTACTGACATTTTTCCGAGCGCTTATTACATATATTATTATTACAAATTATCAAATATATATGAGCAAACGGCTCTTTTCTGTGAATGTTAAATACAAATTGTTGTTTACAAAAAATACGCTTCGTTAGCATTAATAACTCTTAGAATTTAAGTGCATCGCCTAAAAACGCAAACTGCGCTTGTTACCGATGGACATATGACTAACTGTACACATTAGCATGATAATTGGATATATAGCCAGATGTCCTTGAAGAGAAATGCAGTGAATCGGAATGAGAACTGCACCCTTTTACGGTTTCGGAGTTATTCCTCTTTTATAAGTGTTTTACTTTTAGCAGAAAAATTGAGCCATTATCACAAACCTCATTTTTGTGTTGCCTCTTCGGAATAGTGGCGACATATAGGGATCACTTCTCCGTCGTCTGTCTGTCCGTCTGTCTGTCTGTCTGTCTGTCTGTCCGTCCGTCCGTCCGTCACAAAACTTGTCCGGACTACTCCTCTTATACTGCAGGTGCAATTTCATCCAAACTTTACAGGAATAATCAGTACCAAGCCTAGTTGTGCATATTGTCAGCATTTTCCGGTTCAATGATTGTTGTTTGAGTTATGGCCCTTTAATAATTTTTAATTTTAAAGTTTGTCCGGACTAGTTCTCTTATATTACTTACGCAATTTCAATGAAACTTTACAGGATTGATCTATAGCTCAAGTCTTTGCGCATATTGCAAGGGTTTTCCGGTTGAATCATTTTTGGCCGAGTTATGGCCCTTTGATAAAAAGGTTTCTTTTTCTGTGTGTTGCCAGATACACAAAAGCTTGTCCGGACTACTCCTCATAAACTACAGGTGCAATTTCATCCAAACTTTACAGGAATGATCAGTACCAAGTCTAGTTGTGCATATTGTCAGCATTTTCCGGTTCAATGATTTTTGTTTGAGTTATTGCCCTTTAATAATTTTTATTTTTTAAGTTTGTCCGGACTACTTCTCTTATACCACAAATGCAATTTCAATGAAACTTTACAGGACTGATTTGTAGCTCAAGTCCTTGCGCATATTGCACGGGTTTTCCGGTTCAATGATTTTTTGGCTGAGTTATGGCCCTTTTATAAAAAGGTGTTTTTTCTCTGTGTTCCAGATACGCAAAAGCTTGTCCGGACTACTCCTCATAAACTGCTGGTGCAATTTTATCCAAACTTTACAGGAATGATCAGTACCAAGTCTAGTTGTGCACTGTCCGTCTGTCTGTCCGTCTGTCACAAAATTTGTCCCAACATGAAATTTGCCATCATGAGGCGACACATGTGATTACTGATCGCTCTTGTTATTTTTTATGTCAGTCGGTACCAATGAATGATCCCCTTTTTATAACACTTTTTCTGTTCGAATCTGTAGATGCTTCTTGTTTAACATAAAAGCGGGGGTACAACGTAATTTTTAACGTTTGATATCTTAAGAAACAGAATTGTACATTGGGATTATAAAATATTATTTTTCAGATATTTGGGTAGGATTAAACGATATAAAATCAGAAGGTAAATTTGTCTGGGAATATTCAGGAGCATCATATGGCGGCCGTGTAAATGACAATGCTCCTGAAAAAGATTGTGTCTACTTCGTTTACACGAATGGCAACGGATATGTGTATGCAACATATTGTGAACGGAAATTGGCGTATATGTGCGAAATTTCACTCTGTGAGTAAAATCTTAATAATAATTACTTTTTTTATTGTTGAAATAACAATTGATTTAAATAATATATTCAGTAGCATTCTTTTATTACTGTAACTATATAGTGTCGGATGGAATCATTTGTAGACCAAGGATAGAAATCCTGGAACCTAAGCTTACTGTTTTGAATTTTTACCAATGAGCTTTCGCGGTTTACAATAAGTGAACGATTTATTTACATGACAGAAGTAATAAATATCGTTTCCTTTAATAACTAGAAAATTGTTCACGTTTGTTGTCGGAGTTTAAGTATAAAGGCCATTATATTGTTTATATGTTAACGAACACTGACAATTTGATACTTTGTTTGTTTAAGCGTATCATATTGTATCGACAGCTTAGTTAGTTTGTTGTTATAAATAAAAAATTAACCATACTCAATAGAAATAGATAATATTTAATTTCAAAATAGAATCATAAACTTTTCAGTAGAAAAAGGTAATAACATGGTCATAATGATTCTGTGAATAAAATGATTTTCTTCTCTTTCAGAAATACGAAGGAACTTACCAGGAAAAAGAATTTAAAAAGATTTACTTGCTACAGTCGTTTAGTTGTTATTTTATTCTTTTCAAAATTAAAATGATTCAAATCAAGCAAATTCATCAAATATTGAAAGTATATCAATAATAAAGTACGGTCTTATAGACTGGGTGTTGTTTATTTACCTATTATGACATTTGAACTGGTACTTGGTATTGATGTAATAATCCAAATGATCTATATATCTGATTAAAAGTATTGTTTTTCTGAAAGGTCATGGTGATATTATTTAGTCAAAGTCCCTGTTAATGATACAAAGTAAATGCACAACTTATGGGACATTGTTTGTATTTATAAATCTGCTGTCGAAATATTATATAATGTCTTTATACATTTATTAATGTTCTTACTTGAACACAAGGTAAAAGTAAAGCTAAAATCTTATGAGCTGTAGATAATGCTACAAGTAGCCATAAATAAAGCAATTGGGCATCCTAAAAATAACACGAATCATTCCCTGCGGTCTGGAGACCGCAGGGTATTGGTACGCGTTCAACTTTTGAGGCATGGAGGAGCACGTGACCGGTTTTCGGTACATGGAGGAGCATGTGATCTGTTAACCGTACATGATTGGTTAATTGACCTTTTCGAAAACCTAGCTAAATACCGTTTGCCGGTACGTTACTGATTTACCTGTAGTCCGAATTACACCTAATTAAGAACAAA